TAAAACTGAACAGTGACTGTGACCGACAAAAGAAAAGGGAAGAGAAAGAAGTGGTATATAAGGCTGACCGTGGCAGACACAGGTTTTGAGGGAGGTGGGGGCATCATGTTCTGTGTCTTATTGCAACAGCAGACCAATAGGATGGGATAGCTAGGGTGCATGGGTCATGTAATGGGACCCACACAGTGACTGGAACTTTGTAATCACCAAGGTGGCCCTCTGTGTAATTTCAAATTCTAGAAAGAAGCAAAGAACAGAAACATTAGAAAGTGCCCCTGATATTGACAAAAAATGGAGATGTGTCAATGACTGGAAAAGAATTAGCACAGGAAAATGTTGATGGGTCAGTACAATATTAATTTATTTATATAAGTGATTGTAAAAGACACCAAATGCTAAAAATTGACTCCATTTCAGGTCTGGCAAAATTAGGATTCTCACTTGTGCTTTACATTGTTTCTTACTGGATCGGCCTGAGGGAGCCTTGATCTTTGGCTTAATGTTAATTGAAAAGGCATGTGATTTTTATGAACCAGTGTTGCTGAGTGTGCTATGAAAGAGATTCTGTTCTGACTGTTGATAATCAGTGCCAGGTTTAAACAGAAAGAGGAAAAGTTGACTTATGTGAGCTGTGGCTATGAGGGCTTGTGAGTCAATCTTACCATGATTGGAAATTTCATCACCTTTTTGCCTTCAAAGACATTCCTCATTTGCTTGTTACTACTCAGTGTAAGTTAGTGAATGGCTGGACAGAAACAGGTTCTTCCTGTTTGATTCTACTATTTTTCTATGCTTTTCAGTAAATGATGATTAGAGAAACATAATTCTCCTGAAAGACACAAAACTCCTCTATAACTAGATCATTGCATTGTGAACAATGTATGTGTTACTATGGAATAAACTTAATTGGAGTTGTTGAACGGAACTTTAAATTATTTGCTGTTTTTAGGACATTTTTGTCTTGGTAAGGATGTTATTTTTATATGTTATTTGGGTCTTGCATGTTCTTCAATGTTGAAAAGTAAGACAATTTTGGAGATAATTATCGCTTGCTATTATGTCTTGTGTAAGTTGTTCTTTTCTTTTTTATGGTAAATACTCAAGACTTTGAAAACAGTCTTTCCAAAACATCTGGCAGCTTTTTTTCCCCCCAAAATGAGGAAATGGCTTTATATTTTCCTGGTTATAAAATCTACATACTCATTATAAACATTTGAATAAAATGAATAAGCCAAAAATATTTTAAATATGAAAAAGTTCTTTAAATTCTGTAAATTTTTGATATCATTGTTAAAATTTTAGCAAGCATGCTTTCTGTGCTTGCTCTTTCTTATGTGCATTCTCTTTTCTTTTCTCACCCCCTATCCCCCGTCTTGTGCACATTTGGACACAAGCACAGTTTTACATGAAAAGTCATTATACCTGGTCTCACACCCTATTTCTGACTGTGCATTGCTTCTTTTCACATCAGTAAGTGAAGACTTTACATGCATTTTTCCACATCAGTAATGAAGTGTTGCATAATACTTAAGTGGTTATGTCATATTCCATTGAACTCATATAACAAATCATCCACCACCCGTTCTTCAGGTTGTGAGTTTCAGACCTTTCCATGCTGTCAGTAGATTGTAACCTTGGAGGGAGAAGAGTGGCTGTCCAGCAGTCAGAAGGGCCTTTGGTTTCTAGTGTGAGAGATACTTCACTGTGACAATGTTTGTGGGTGCTGATGTAACGGGGACAATGTGATGATTTTTCTGGAGGTAAAAACAGCCCCATGGAGAGAGCCACCTCTGTATCTGCTGAGTTAATTTCATAGAAAGGCCACCCTGTGCTAACCTGTCCAGAAGGAAGGTCATTCTACTTGCAAGCTGGCTCCAGTGTCCTAAATTAATCAACTCCTCCATCCTTTTTTTTTTTTTTTTTTTAGATCTGGTAACTATTTAGTTCTGTGATATCTACCATATCTCTTATGTAAAATCAATCTCTTAAAATCAATTGAACTTTCAGGTATGCGAGCCTGAACTTCCTCCATCACTTTCTGTTAATATTAGACTTAATTAGGTGAGCAGTGTGGGAGCCTGACTCCCTCGGTTGAGTCCTGGCAGTGACCTAAACCTCAGTGACCCTCCTCCTGGTGATAAGGACAGTGCCCAATTCCTATCTAGAGGATTAATTGATTAATATATATAAAGTTCTTTTATAAGCCGTTGTTATAATTAATAATTATGTGACATAAGCAAGATGGTTCTTTCTACCCTTATTACCCCTTTTCTGCTTCCTCAGTTGTTGAAAATGGAGGGGTAGAGAGGTTCCCATTCATCCCTTCTTTACCCATTATAATTTCTCTATTTCCCTGCTAAGTGGTTTTGACTGTAATATAGTGTACCACCAGTTCAGATCAAGAAGAATGGAAGCAATTGTGCATTGACTTAAAAGTCTGGGGAAACTTGATTCCTAGTAAAGGAATAAATATATTAAAATATATGTAAAACACATTTGATTTGAACAATATAGTGTGCAGGTTGTGCTTTATTATATTGTTACTAGATAACTGTTAGCAACAAACTTTTAGAGTCTGCATTTGAGAAATGTGAAAGAAATGTTTAAAAATAAAATAGCTCTACTTTTAAAAATGTCACTAGATATTTGGAATATATTTTTATATCGACTTTCATTTACATATAAACTATCATTCCTAGGTAACAAAGTGTTAATGTCTGATTTCTAAGATTTTTTCTTTTTACTTTTAGTTTACTTATAGGTATAAAGAAAATGAAAATAATACATCTTATGAAATACAATGAGATAAATATAATGAGATAAATATAATTTTTCAGACTTTTTCAATTACACTACTATTTGTTTCTTATTCTACTGTCAGCTTTTATTTTAGTATCTAGAAGGTCATTTTTGCTCGCAGGTGACAGAAAATTCAAATATAAATGAAAATGATAAGGAATTATTTTCCTCCCATAAAAAGTAATCCCGAGGCAGGGCCGTCCCAGGGTCAGCTAAGTCAGCAGTTCAGTGATACCAAGAGTCCAGACTCTCCACCTCCTTATTTTGATGTCCTTAGTATGACAGGTTTGTCCTTAAGGTGACAAAATGACTGGAGGCATTGCAGGCATTGCACTCAGATAGAACACTGCCCAGTGGCAGGAAAAAGAGAAACACTTTTTTGCGTCCCCTTAAAAACAATGAATCTTTTTCCAGATGTCTCCATCAGATTTTCTCCCATTTCTTATTGACTAACTTTGTGTCACAAGCTTGAGCCTAAAAAAATCACTGGCAAGGAATATGTTGCCACCGTCATTGGCTCAGCAGCATCAGATTCCATCCTCTGGGGCTGGGGACAAGCCAGCCTCCCTGAAGGACTGACTTTGTGGAAGAGGATGATCCTTGAACAAATGTGGGCTCTGTTAGGGAAGGAAAGGGATCTGTGAGAGAATATGAGGTGAGGCTGGGGGGACGTCACAGTGTCTGCTCCAGCCCACTCTTTTGAGTTTAAGTGCTATGCAGCAGAGCCCTGATATATAGGGCCAGAGCCTTTCATCTGCTACATAAGTTAGTATTTCCATCTAAATGAAGATCTTGTACTTGCATATAATCAGTACAGGAGACCTCTTTAGGTCTGTATGTATCAATAGATGTATTTTTCAGATGTGAATTTCTCTTTAATAATGATGATGATAAAAGTGTTATTTCCCAATGAAGCATGTCCAGCATACCCTCTGTTTTATGACTAGATTGCCTGTTTTATGACTAGATTGCTGAGTCTTAAAAGAACTTCATTGTATGTATATTTCCTCCTCACCTGCTGAGCCTCAGGCCTTTTACCTGCCTTTGGGGTAGTTTTGCACACACACACACAAGGTATTGGCTGGAGTCAGGAAAAGGAATCCCTGCCTGCATTCTGGTGCATATGTTTCATTGCTGACAGAAAGTTCCTGTTGACAGGTAGCCTTAGTTACTTCCATCCATTTTACCTGCTTTTATTTCTTTACCAGGAAGGGCTATGTGTTATACTTGGGGGAATCTCTCCATGGGCTTGCTGTGCCTCATGGCCAGCGAAGCTGCTTTAGTGTGGTAGGTTTTTCTTCCACACCAGCATTTCCACACTAATGTTACCTAACAAGCCATCCTAAGTCTCAGAAACTTACACAGACTCTTAACAGCAAGTATTTATTTTTCTATCTCAATATTCAATTTTGCTGCTAACTGTAGGTTGTCTGGGGTTGGCTCCATTGTAGGTTGGGTGAGCTTTGCTGCCTGAATTTCCTCCTTTTGCTTGAATCAGCAGCTGCCCTAGGCTTTCCCATCCACTGCCACTTCATTTCTTCTTTTTTAAAATTTATTCATGCATACAAGACCTGGGGTACAGGTCAGAGATGTGGGGGTGGGGATTCACCAGAGACAGAGTGGGGAGCAGAACAGGCAGATCTACTGAAATACACTGCTGAGGGAAGCAGCGGGTGAGACAAGAGAGGTCTGCTGCACCATGTGGGTTAGCACCCTGGCCAGGGCTTGAACTCATGCCACAATGGCTTGCTTTAGCTTGATGGTGAGCCACCAGGGAGGCCCATTCAGTTGGCCAAAGCAAGTCAAGAGATAAGTCTCAAATCAGTTGGGGGGCTGGGGAAGGGAGGGGTGGTGTGTGTGCATATTTTCTAAAGGTGTGGATGGAGGGAAGGAATAAATTGTGGCATTTTTACAAAGCATGACAGGTAGAAAGAAGTCAGGGACCTGGACAGTTAAAGGTAAAATCCAGAATGATAGTCACCTTAAAAAATCACACATTACTAATAACATTCCTCCATGTCGATACTTTCTGTCTTGTGTCTGATTATTTTTCCTTGTTTTTACCATTTCAAAATTGTTTTATTAAGTTGTTCATTTCACCTTGAATTCTTATCTCTTTTCCCTATCACCAGTCTGTGACCTTGAGCCATTATCTAGAGAACCTTCATTTATACTTATGTGTAAACTGGGAAGACTCTTAGCCTCAGGAATAATAATAGGGGGAGGAGAGGGATGGAGGAGTAAAGTGGGTCGGGAAGATTGTTCCTTACTAGGGAGATGCTGACCTGAATGAACTTGTGGTGACAGCACCCACTGGCATAACTTTTCTCTTTGCTTTGGTGCTTTGCAGGGGCCTGCAGAAGAAGGCTATTATGAGGCTCTTTTCTGATTCTCCCAACTGAAAAGTAGAATTCCTGTTGAAAAGATTAGGTCTGAAAGGATGTGGTGTAATCCCAATGGTTTTGTGGGTATGTTTATTAGTGTTTACTGCTGTATTGGGATTAAGTGCCTTTTAATAATGGACAGTGTCATGAAGTATATGAATTTCATGAGTCATTGCATGTTATGACTTTCAGAGTAAGTAGGTGAAGCTGGGCTAGTCCCACGTGGTGAGATGGCCTGTGCCAGGAGCTAAGCAATTATAAAACAACTAACATTTATAGAATGCTGACTGACACTCTTTGAGGCCCTTTGTGTATGCTTATTTTATTATCACAGCAGTAGTGCGGTATAGGCACCATTGTTAGTACCATTTCTCAGATGTGGAAATGAAGCACAGAGTTTTTAAATTGTTTGTCCAAGATTCTGTACCTTCATGGTTTGAATCCAGGTAGACTACTCCAAAGGTTTTGGCCTCAGCTTTGGCCTATTGCTTTTCAAGTAAATGTCAAGTAAATGTGGAGAAATGTCAACAAGAGATCTAGCTGGACAAAGGGGTGGGAAAGGTAAGTTTTGGTGTGGACATAAAAGACAGTTTTATTTTTTTAAAGATTTATTTATTTATGAATACAAAAACTGGGGTGTAAGCTAGAGGTGTTGGGGGGGGTGAGAGGATTCACCAGAGACAGAGCGAGGAACAGAACAGGCAGACTGATGAAATACACACTGAGGGGAGGAGCAGGCGAGACAGGAGAGGCCTGCTGCGCCATGTGGGTAGCTCCCAGGCTGCTGGGGATCGAACTCATGCTGCAGAGGCTGCGGATAGCTTCACAGTGCTGTGCTTAATCCCTTGTGCCACCAGGAGGCCCAAAAAGACAGTTTTTGAGGTATACTGGGAAAATAATAGAAATAGTTTACTGACTGTTGGTTGTTGGTGAAAGACGATGAGAAATTAAAGGAGCCTTATTTTAAAACTTGGGGATGATCCATCCCAGCTCTGTAAAACTATCTGCTGGTTGCTTCCCTGTGGTTAATTTGAGGAAGTACCTCAATTTGAGGTACTTCCTCAAATTAACATGCTAGTGTAAAGCAACATGCTAATGTTTGTGCCAGACATTGAAATCATCATGTCAAAGGCAATTTACAATCTTTGGCTCTGTAGTTCGGGACTTGTCACGATCTCTTCCTTACTGTCTCCCACGAGACTGTGGGGAGATTACCAGAAGCTCCTTCTTAGGGAAACTGGCCTTTTTCCACCTGCACTGGCACTCACTCTCCTCTTGTTTCTTAGGTGTCTTCTTTTCCTCCTGATCTTATTCATCTGGCTTTCCTGCTGATCCCCAAGATAATGACTTATTTCTTTATATTCCTGACCCGATTTCTATTTCTAGTTTTGATTTATCCCCACTTGTCTTTGAGACCTTTTTATGGCTTAGGTTTGAGTCAAATGGCTTGGACAAGAGAATTCTGACCCAAGCCACATATGATTCTTTGCTTTGATCACACATCCTCCTCTACCTAACATGGTTGTGATGGAGGTCAAGTAAAGTAAGGCATGAAGTGTTACATAAATGTATAGGATTATTATTATTCTACCTGTTCCCCCCCCCCCAAAGTGGTATATACTCCCTGCTTGATACTCTCATAAGATTGGGTATTGGTGCCTTTTTCATTGCCTATCTGTTTTACCTTCCAGGGCCCTGGGTCTTACTCACTTTGAACATCTTAGCACTTGACACAGGGCTTATTGGGATGGGTAGGGACTCAATAAATGGTTGAATGTATGAAGAATGTCTGTCTAAAAGAAGTTCAATCTTGGAGTCATGCTCTTTTTTTTTTAAGATCTATTTATTTTTATACAAGAGCTGGGGTACAGGGCAGAGGCGCAGGAGGGTAAGAGGATTCACCAGAGACAGAGTGGGGAACAGAACAGGCAGACGACTGAAATTGCTGAAGGGAGTTGAGGGCGCGACAGGAGAGATCTGCTGTGCCAGGTGGGATTCTCGCTGGCTGGCCAGGATCGAACCCTCACTACAGAGGCTGTGGACAGCTTCACAGTGTTGTGCTCAACCCGCTGCGCCACCGGGGAGGCCCTTTTTTTTTTTTCCGTTCTAAACAGTTTTCCTACCATATCCCTTTATGCTTCTTGAAGTTAATCTTGTTATAAAGCAGCCCTTTGATATTTTCTTGTGTTTTTTTATACAGGATGCTGAATTCTAGCGCTGTGGTTTCCTTCCCTTATACAGGATGCTGAATTCTAGTGCTGTGGTTTCCTTCCCAAGATCTGTACTTGCTTTATAAATATACATCTGATGAGTCTTATCTTTTGAAAATAAAGTAAATCAAGGCATCATCCTACATTTTGATTTAGAGATATAAAATTTTTGATATTCTTTGTTGATGCAATTGACAGATATGCATTGAGTACCTCCTGGTACTCAGTATGAAAATCTATTTCTGGGCCTTGGGATACAGCTGTAAATAAAACAGATGAGATTCCTGCCTTTATGCAGGTCCCATTCTAGTGGGAGTGCCAACTAGTGAAGAGATAAATGTATAAATGAGATAATTTCAGCTAATATGAAGTGCTTTGGAGGGAATCATGTGAAGAGGACTCCCAGACAAGTGAGGAGTCCTCACACATGTAAAGAAACTGGGTATTATGTAGATGTTATGCTAGTGTCATTGTGTATTGAATTACCTGGAAGATATCTAATTATTTTGTTAGTGAGTACTTTAAGCTCAGCCTCATCCACAGAAAAGATAGTAAATGGCTGCGGAAGAGGTGATTGTTACTTGTACTTTTGGTTTTATGAAAGGACCTCAGTCTCTTTGAGGGCACCTCAACCTTAATGAGGATTCTCTTTGGTTGCTGATGTTTGAGTATCTCTGAGGGAGAGAAGGAGGACTGGGGAAGATGGGACGTTCCTGATTTCCCAGCATAACTTTCCTGTGCCATCTTCTTGCATTGGTACTCTAGCAGCCTTGACGACAGAGCAGTTGTTTGCTTGCTTATCGTATTCTCTCTGAGGCCCAGTCACTGGTGAGCAGTCATGCATTCATCTAGTCATCTATCACAGAGCCTATGAAGTGAGAAGGCAGGGTGATGAGATGAAATGTGAAGAGTGGCATACAGGGCACTTTTAGATTTTTTTTGAGGAGGTAATGTGTGCCCCAGTTCTGGAAGATGAAAAGGAATAAGCTATGTGAAGATCTGGAGTTGGGGGCAACATACAAGAGATACCTGAAGTAGGAAACAAGTTTGGAAAGTTTGGGGAATGGGAGAAAATCACATTGGCATGAAGGTGACAGTTGTTATCTAATGGGGGAAATCATGCAGGGCTCTGCAGGGTGTGGTAGAGAGTTTGGATTTTAAGTACTGGAGGCTGTTGGAAGATTTCCAGTAAAAGGATGATATGAGTTGATATACATTAGTAAATTTTTGTGTTGACTATTGTGGGGAATGACTATGAAGGAGTGGAAGCAAGGAGCCCAGACAGTGGCATTGTTGCAGCCTGAGTGAGCATTCTTGGTGACATAGTCTAGGCAGGGCTATGGAGGGTGACAGATAACCAGGGCTGGAACCTGTTGTAGGTGGAGCTGACAGGACAGAGTGACACACTGGAGAGAGCACTGAAGGGGTGAGAAGATGATGTTTACATTTGGCTAGAGCAGCTGGGTAGACATTAGAGCCACTTGTTGAGATGGAAACGTATGAGGAAAGAACAATACTTCCCTTTAGACATTTTTAATTTGAGAAGTCTTTTAGACTCCAGTTGGAGAAATCCATTTGGCAGGAGTCTATGAGAATAGAGCTTATGGCAGGAGTGGGGTGTAGGGGAAGTGGAGAGAGTGTGTGTGGGAGCTTTAGGACTGCAGACAGAAATCAAGTGTCCTCAGCAGAGACATGAAATTTCTCTCTTGATAACTCCAAGGATTTGAAGGAGGATCAGGCCATTTCTTTCTTATAGGCCTATGGTCTTATCATTGTGGTTATTATCATACCATTGTTTGTTATAGGTTGTTTGTTATTTAATTAAAGAAACTATTGAAATAAAGTAGTCTGGGGATTTCTGTGAGGGCAGGGATTATCTCTAACAGAGGGGATAAATCTGTCAGATTTGCCAGAAATTCCATCAGGAAATAATAAAGTAGAACATGAAGGGGCATGTACCAGAGGTATTGACCTCATCTTAGGGTGGGCTGGGGTTCTTTGAGCTAACCAGGGAGTGGTGAGTGGGAGCCTGCTGGGTGAAGTGTGCTCCAGAAGGAAGAGTTATGTGTTGGATGGACTAGCAGTTTGCTATAGAGTAAAAATGACAAAACCCTTCCTTTGAACTGACAGATTCTGCAGGAGGTGTTCTGGGTTCCTTGGCAAGACTGTGGAGCGCTTAAGAATGTTAATATGGAGATGGGTTAATGATACTCGTTTCAGTGTTAGTGCTTTCGTACAGGAAAACTTGTTATTAGAAATTTCCACTGCTTTGTGCTTCGTTTTATTGTGGAACAGGAAATACATGACACTGGCAGCTTGTATGACTTTATACATACTGTATGTGCATTGTTTCAAAGAACCTGGGAAGATTTTTGCATAAAAACTCCTTATAGAGCACTCAGAGGAAGACAATTCTTTAGCTTCACTACCATTGTTCACCTCATAGAATTTGAACTTGGTGAAGGGAATGTTCACATACATCCACTGTATTAGAACCTTGATAGCAACTGATAGCACTGTATTAAAGATTGAATAGCAAACACATTTTTTTCTGTGAGTACTTCTGTAGAATGTCAAGGAAACAGTTTTAAATTTTCCTATGGTTACAAGTATATCCTTCCAAAGAGCTAATACTTTGGTCAAGACCCTGTTGTAAATGGCACAAACAACCTTGTTTGCTAAGGAATATGTACACAGGTGTGTTGACAGTGGATAGCTGCTCTGATCAGAGTTGTGAAGGATGTTGAGGCCCCTGGAAGAAGTGGCTCTGTTGTTGCATTGCCCCGGTAGGAGTTGTCATTGGGCTCAGTTCCCTACGCAACCTACCTGTCGCTTCCAAGTCCCTGGACGCCAAGTCCCTGGTTTAGCAAAAGTGGTGCATTCTTCCTTATCACCTCTGTCAAACCCACTCAGAATCTCCATTGAACTCCTCTCTCGTCCCATAACAGGATGTCATCTTGTCCCTCTCAAACCCTATCTGACCTCTGGCATATAGCTGTTCTGTGCTGGGTCCCCATAGCTCTGATCTCCTTAAATATGTTTCCTGCAAGGTTCTGTGTGTTCGGTGGAGGGGGAGGGGGTGTTGGGGGACATGTACCAAACACAATTGAGACTTTTTTAGGTGGAGAATAAATGGATGGGAATACTATTTTCTTTTGTCTTATAGAGGGGGTAAAGTTAGTTTTAGTTTATTTCTGAAAAGATTGTGAATTTTGATATTTGTATAAGGGTATTGTCATAAATGCTACCTTTTTCTTTTCAGATAATGTGGATGCAAGTGATCTTAAGCAGTTTTTTGAGACCAACTATTCTCAGATATATTTCATCTTCTATGAAAACTTTATAACACTGGAAAATAGTTTGAAACTAAAAGGTAAGCATTTCTACAATTTTCAAAAAAAACTAAAAAGTTTTTTAAAATATTTGAGAAGTTTATTTCTAGACATTTTGTACATATTTAACTTTCTTCCCAAGTGCTTTGCAAAGCTGTGAGATCACAGTGGCCTGATTGACATCTTCATTTCCCTTGAGTTTTTTTCTTACATGGGTGTTAATTAACAGCAAATGACAAAAGAAAAAGTAGAAGAAATCCACAGAAAGCATGAGTTCCAAGGGAATAGTTTGCTTAAAAAAAAAAGAAAAGAAAAACCTGCACACTATTAAAAATATGCAGAATCTGGGCCTCCCTGATGGTGCAGTGTTTAAAGTCTCAGCACTATCAAGCTATCACCAGCCACTGTGGCATGAGCTTGATCCTGGCCAGGGAGCTGACCCACATGGCACAGCAGACCTCTTCTGTCTTGCCCACTGCTCCCCTCAGCAGAGTATTCACCCCTCAGTGGTGAATCCTCTCACGCCCTCCTCCCCCCCGCCACCATACCTCTGGCCTGTACCCACATGGTGCAGCAGACCTCTCCTGTCTCACCTGCTACTCCCCTCAGCAGTGTATTTCAGTCAGTTTGTCTGTTCTGCTCCCCACTCTGTCTCTGGTGATTCCTCTCACCCCCGTACCTCTGGCCTGTACCCCACTTCTTGTATGCATAAATAAATAAAAATAAATCTTTAAAAAAGCTTTTAAAAATGCAGAATCCACTAACAGGTTTGAAATGAAAACTGAAGTGTTTATATTTCACAGTCCCTAAGTGGTTTCTCTGCAGAGGCAACCAGTGTTCATTAAACCTACCTGTATCTCTTTGTATATATTAATTGTGTTTATACAATGTATTGCCCATATATACTTATTTAAAATGTTCTTTGAAAATCAAGTTAATAAGGTCACACTGTGCATTCTGCTTTATATTTAGTTAGTAGGCTATGGAGACTGGGAACCCAGATTGGGTTTGGATCCTGGTCTCCCACCCTTCTGCCTGTTTGTCCTTGGGCAAGCTACTTAACCTCTCTGATTCAGCTTCCTCCTGTCAGCATTGAATGGGTAAAGACAAAGCTGGGATTTCTGGACTGGGTATTGAACATAATACGTGTTCAGTAAGTGTTTGCTGCCATTGTCATTTTCATGTAAACTGTTTTGGGAATCCTTCTATATTAGCACATTTATTTCTACCTCAGTTTTAAACAATTACATAGTACTATGTTGAATAGAAATGTTATACTTCTTGATAACTAACTTCTGAGTGACAGATATAGAATCCCAGAGTTTTAAGGTTGGAAGGAGCTCAAGAGATTGGGTTGTCCACACTCCTAATTTTAGAGTGGTGAAAACTGCATCCAGAGAGGTTACATAACTGGCCTAAAGTCACACAGATTATTTAATTGCAAAATCAGAATTGCAGCCAGATTCCAGTTCTGAACCTGGTTAATTCCAAGGTTTTTCTCATCAGTGGTTCTCAGAGCTTGGTTCTGAGACTAGTAGTATGGGCATCACCTGAGTACTTGTCAAGCCTGTTGAATCAGAAACTCTGCAGATGGAACTCAGCAATTGGTGTGTTAACCTCTCCAATGATACTAATGTGCTCTAAAGTTTGAGAACCACTGTTCTCTTTCATATTTTTCCCATTTTTAAAAAAGCAATATTGATACTAGATCAACAGATAGACATTGAACATTGTCTGGCAATACACTTGCACATGAGAATGTCTTATACCCATAGCCTGAATCATGCATTAACATCTTGAAACGTGCCTTTAGTACTGGTGACTCTCACGGCCTAGCCTTGTGGACCCTGCCTCAGGAAGTTCTATTATTCACTTTTGCTTAATTCTTCATTTATTTAGGGTGAGTATTTGAGTGCTGACAGTGTACATGGCACTGTGCTAAATCCCTATAAGGAATCCAGAGATGTATCAGATGCTGAACATGTTGATGGGTGGTGGTGGTACTGGTAGTTGTGGATTGGTCTGGGAACAAGTCATGTGCATAAACTATGAAAGACATTAGAAATTCACATGTCCTATAATAGAGATATATGGAAAATATTGTGGTTGTTGGCGAGAGGGAGCGATGACTTTCTGCTGAGCATACAAGTGAGGGTTTGGGGATGAAGTCTGTAGTGCCAACAGGTGCAAAGCAGGTTCTCTATCGATTTGGGCAGACAGATAAAGGAAAGTCCTGGAGCCCTCATTGGCTTATTCAGGCTTTAATGCTCTTTCTACATCAATTGTTTGGGGGCAAACCCACAGGCTGGCAAGACAGGAAGGCCAAAGGGCCAGAAGGCTGGCAGACCCCCCACATCCCTGGGGAATCTTTTCTCTTTCTCTTTGGGCTCTCTCTGGCATTCTCTCATGGTTTCTTCCTCTCGTAGCTGTTACTTGTCCTCTTGCAGTAGTTCTGCAGTAGCCATGTCTGAGTAATGTCGCCCTTGTAGCCCAGCCTCCAGGCTAGGTGTGCACACTTAATGCATGCCCACACCCATACCCAGGTGTCCTTAGTCAGGCATGTGTGCCCCATGACCATGCTTCTAACACCCCCTGCATTAACACCATCAAGAGTACAGGTGAAAGCCACAGAGGCCGAGGTGCAAAAAGCCTGACCAATTCACTTACCCTGTAAGGTAGCCTTGGAGATAGATCCTGAAGAAGATGTAGGATTTCAAATACAGGCGAACAGCACTGCAGGTGAGGGGTAGAAAATGAGCAAAGGCATGGAGGCTGTTTTTAGGTCACCTATGGGAAAAATGTTCCTTTTTCTTACAGTGTGAGATGTGTGAAAAGAGATTTGCAGGAAATCATATTATGCTAGTCTTGTAAAGAGCCCTAATTTCCAGGATAAGGAGTTTGGACTTTGTTCTTTAAGGTGGTTAGAAATCTTGAAATGCTTGCTACTAAGACAGAATCTTATGGTGGTAAGTGAGAAGAGGCAGGAAGACCAATCTGGAGGCTGGTGCTGTCATTCACATGAGAGCTGGTGACAACTGATCCAGGAAGGTGGCAGTTAAAGGCAGAGAAAATATTGTGTCTCAATGGGTGCCTTATCCATGAGACTTGGATATAGGACAAGGGATACAGAAGGGAAAAGTCGAAGAGGCTTTCAGGATGTTGTCTGTTTCATAACTTACCATTACAGCAGAGCAAACCCTGGAGCGGAGCCAGGTTTGGGAGGATGAGTACAGCTTTGAACAGCTTAAATTTGATGTGCCTGTGGGACACCCAGGTGTTGATTCTGATTGACAGTAAAAATAAAGGGACAGGAGTCTGGAAGAACAGAGGAGAAATCATGCTATTACCAATACAAAGTGACAGTCAGAAATTTGCAGTGAGTCCTTCTTTTATTGGGTTAATGAAGAAGAAAGATACAACAATGGGGGTGGGGGAGTGGTAGGGTGCTGGGAAGGTATTTTGTCACAGAATCCAGGGAAAATTTCAAGGAATAAAAGATCAGTTCCTGATGGTACAAAACATTAGCACATTGATGAGGTTGTCCCTGACTGTCAAAGAGAAGTTCTAGGTGAGCAGTGGGGTCAGAAACCAGAAAGAAAAATGGAATAATTTCCTTTATTGGGGGTGAGTGAAGGCTGCATGTAAGAATATTCTTTTAGAAAGTTTGGTAATGAAGACAAAAGATTGTATCTCAAGGAGTAGCTTGGTTGTGGGAAGGTTTTTAAGATGTATTTGCCTATTTTCAGGCTGAGGAAATGGAAATCACTGATGGAACAAGGTGTTTGGGGAAGTGGGCTAAGGCAGGGTTAAGTAAAAAGAAGAGGTTGCAGAGAGGATGCATAGATGCCCCAGCTTCTTCTGTAAAACTGGAAACAATTGCCAAGTGTGGAGGTGAAGGAATTTGGGGTGAGGCACTGTGGTAGTTTCTGACATGTAACAGGTGGCTCAGGATCTTGTAGACTGTTTCAGGCTTTGTAGGTTATTAAGTCATATATGAACATATAGGATACCAACAAACGATCTTAATTGCTGATATTTTCTTGTGATTTATAAATTGACATAAATCTTGAACTTAAAAATTTCATTTTTGCCAAATTGATATATATATCCAGTATGAACAGATCCAACTTTTATTTTGTTTCCTAGTTTTGCTCCACTTTATTTTACTGGTGTGTAGAGGAAAAAAGTGTGATATTATGTGTTAAAATAGCAAAGAAAATAGAACCTCATATCTGATGAAATAAAAAAAAAAGACATGACCCGGAAAGCCCGATACAGGGTACTCCCTTCCTCTTGCTTTTCTCCTTTGCTTCTTCTATCCTTTTAGAAAAATGTAGCCATTCAAAACTATTAGTTTGTGCTGGGTAACAAATTGCATAACAATGTCCAAAACTCGTGCCTTAAAACAGCTAGTTATTTAGTTTATGATTTAATTTCTGGTTTAGGCTGTTCCTAAATGCTTCTGATGTCACCTGATGGCAAATGACCTCATTCATATGTCCTGTGGTGGGCAAGCTACTGATCAGGGAACCTTAGATCTGGAGATCTCCATGTGATACTTGTTCTCTAACCTAACGTGCTGCACCCGCCTCCTTCCCTCCAGTCACCATTCTACATCTGCTCTGCCATAAGGACTTTGCACTGTCCAGTTCCTCTGCCAGGAACATACTTACCCCAGATTCCATATGACTTATTTCCTTACTTCCAAATTTCTATGAGGATTGTATTCCTTAGATCTTTGTGGGGATGTCATTTTATCCAAAAGGCATTCTTTGACTTTCTTAGTCAAATTTGCATATCACCGTGCCCCGCCCCCGCCCCCCCCCCCCCCCCCCCCTCCAGCCCGGTCTGCCTTCCCTCTGTTTTTCTCACTTATTGAATGAATGCTTCCTCCGGCCAGAATGTATGCTTCTTCAGGGCAGGGATCATTGTGTTTTCTTTATTCCCATATTCTCAGGTCTTGGAATACTCCCTGATATATTCTTTTTTACTACTTTTTCAATGAATGAATGGTATCTAGTTCATGGAGCTGTGGGGTTTAAGTTAGATCAGAGGCTCACAGTTTTCAGCTTGCTGCCTATTTTGTAGATACAGTTTTATTGAACATAGCCTTATGCATTCATTTATATGTTGTCGGTGGCTGCTCTTACACTATAAAGACAGAATTGAATGATTGCAAAGAGGCCTGGAAAGAGGCCTCTTGCAAAGAGGCCTAAAATATTTACTATCTGCCCCTTTACAGGAAAAGTTTGCCTGTTTCTGAGTTAGATGTTGTATGTCCAGCTCTGAGCACAGTGCTTGGTGCCTAGAAACTGGACAGTAGATGGTAATTGCTGCTGTAGGTGTGGTAGTTTTCATTGCTATTTTTATCAAAAGGACAGTGTGCAATTGCCTAAAGAGATGTATGACTTTATAGTTATTATTACTCTGTGCCTCTTCATATCACAAAGCTAGAACTCTTTGTTTTTGCTGTGCATTCTGCCATAATTTGAGCTGATAAGTAATTGAGAAATGAATAATTTACCTGCCACAGCTTGATAACTTGGAAACACGAAAGCTGTGTTTAAACAGGGAGGAGCAATTGTTAGATGTTGACCCAGAAGGTCTGGCTTGGTTGTTGTCCATATGCATTCTTAACGCTAGTTCTTTAACACTTTTCAGTATTTTTTTAACATATAAATGTTTGTTGAGAGTTAAGTGTTTTAAGATGCCTTCTAACATAATTTTTAGTATCCTAAAATTTACATGTTGTCATGATAATTTTTTTCATATATTCCAGGAAATAATAAGTCACAACGGGAGGAGCTGGACTCTATCCTTTTTCTTTTTGAAGTAAGTTTTTGTTAATTCATTTAGTTTTTAATATTCTTGTAAAAAATGTATTTTATTTTACTTATTTTTAAATGTGGTATTTTAGACCTTTAATTTCACTTGAAGACCACCTTTTCCTCCCTCCCTCCTTTTACAAACAATGCTGCAAAGAATGTTCTTTTGACTTTTTTGGTAAACATCTAGGAGCATTTTTTTTTTTTCTGTTTGGGTACCTAGATGTGAAATTATTTGTTGGAAAAGTTTGCCCATTTTAAATGCTAATAGATATTGCCAAATTTCTTTTCAAAAGGTTATATCAATTTGCATGTAAACTTATATGTAAGTCTTATGTAAATTTCCATAATCAAGACTGGAATTGTCCTTTTAATATATGTAAACAGATTCAAAGATTCACTACTTTTAATATACATTTTTCTGACTACTAGTGTGATTGTGATCTTTATATGTGTTTCTCCATCCATACGCAATCATAGTCTTTTTAAGTCAGAACAACATTTGGGTGTGTTTTTGATCTACTAAGCTTAATGTATTTCTTGTCAAATCTTTAGATAAGTGACCAGATTACTGCTATCTTAAGAGCTTTATTCAGAAGTGAACTATAGGTTCTGAAAGTTAAATTGTTACTTATCTAGCAGTTATTTATGGTTTGAAGATACATGAGCTTAGGTTGGTATGAGATTGACTTCATGACTGTAAAGGAAAGACCTAATGTATATTTGCTGCAGAGCTGAATGGAGCTGAATGGGTGGGAGGAAGTCTCTTCATAGGTGCTTTGGGATTGTAGAATAAAATGAATGTACCTTAAGGTTTGGCTTTTGGCTGGAATGCAGTAACTGTGTGTTTCTCCTTTCTCTCATTTGTGGGTAGTACTCCTTCACCAGAGAAACAGACATTAATTCATTGCAAATTCTGTGGTATTTACTGTGTTCCTGTGGCTACTCTCCTGTTAATGGAACCTATGCAGCATTGTTTCTAACATGACTTTAATTAGGTCCATCACTTAAATACTTATCTGACCATAATTTTTTTGCACCAGTTCATTAACTTATTTTTTATGTAATAGTTAATGTATTTAATAGTCAACGATCTGTGCAAGTTATTGAGCACGATAATAAAGCTCATTCTCTAGATGTCTCCCTCCATATTAAGAGCTAGGAACTGCTTAAGTACTCCTCCTGAGCCCATCCCTTCTCCTCTTTGAAGGCAAACACTAATTTGCATTTTATCATTCCCTTGTAAAAAATGGTTTTGCCACATGTATATGTATCCCTAAACAATGCATTGCGTAGTTTTGTTTGGTTTTGAATATAATACTAATGGTCTCATGTGGTACAACATTATTTCTTTTTTTTTTTTTTTTTAAGATTTATTTATTTATGCATACAAGAGTATAGCCCAGAGGTGTTGGGGGTGTGTGTGGGAGGATTCACCAGAGACAGAGCTGGGAGCAGAACAGGTGGAATGACTGAAATACACTGCTGAGGGGAGCAGCGGGCCAAACAGGAGAGGTCTGCGCCCTGTGGGTTAGCTCCATGACGGGGATTGGGGATCCAACAAGTGTTATAGTGGCTGCCTATCGCTTCATAGTTCTGAGACTTAACCCCTGCTCCACCAGGGAGGACCTACAACACTATTTCTAAGATTTATCCATGTTTATGAGCTTAGCACTAGTTCATTCATTCCATTCCCACTGCTGGATTAAGTGAATATATATGATTTTTTAACTCTAATATGTCCATATGTGATGATTTTTTTTTTGTTTGTTTTTTGGTAGACATTCAGATTATGAATAATGATAAACTTGCCACTTAGTTTGTTTTTCTTGTCTTACTGTCCTTGCTCAGCCTTCCAATGTACTGAATAGAAATTTTAAAGTGGTCATCCTGTTTCTGACGTAGAGGAAGTTTTTATCATATTTATCCTTAAGAATAACGTATTCTTTTTTTCTCTGATCCCTTATTTGGTTCTCCTATATTCCTCCTATAAGAGAAACCATCCCATGTTTTTCTTTTTCTTTCTGGTTTATTTCACTGAGCATAACCCCTGAGAGGAGAAAGCAAACATTGTACAAAAATGAGCAATGATGTAAAATATATACATAGGAATAATGTTTTCTGCACATTGGTGGTGCAGATGCTCTATCAGATTCAGGAAGTTTGTTTCAATTTGTAGGTGGGTAAGTTTTATTAAAAAAATCATAGATGGGTTTTGAAGTTTTCAGACTTTTATTCTGCAGCAAGATAACCATATGATTTTTCATGAATATTGATGTGGCAAATTACAGAATTATAGTTCTGAATTTTGGGGTGACTAATAGTTTGAATTTTTAGATCTATGTTCACAGTGAGGTTGACCTAAATTTCTTTCCTCATATTGTTTTGAATGATCATCTTTTGAATGATCCTTTCAATTTTAAAATAGTTTGTGTAAAATTGGAATTCTCTGTTCCTAGAATCTTTTTAGTATTTCCTGCAAAACTAGAATTATTCTAGGATTTTTCAGGTTTTAATTTTATCTTGATTCAGATTTGGTAAATTTTATGTATTTTTTAAGAATTTGAAGAATTTGTTCTTTTACCAAAGGTATAAATTTATTGACAAGAAGATGCTTTCCTACTTACAGGGATCATAATCCCTTCTGCTATCTGTTCTAGATGAATGTTCATTGTATTGAAACATTTGTAACTTACAGTACAAGTAGTAATAGGGTTTCCCCTGGTGGCATAGGCAGTTTAGCGTAGCACTGTGACGCTGTCTGCAGTCTCTGCAGCATGGGTTTGATCCCGGTTGGCTGGGGAGATACCTACATGGTGCCCAGACCTCTCCTGTCTTGCCCGCTGCTCCCTTCAGCAGTGTGTTTCAGTCGGTCTGCCTGTTCTTTTCCCCACTGTGTCTCTGGTGAATCCTCTCACCCTCCCTCACATCTGGCCTATACCCCGGTTCTTGTATGCATGAACAAATAAATCTTAAAAAAAAAAAAAAAGTAGTAATAGTATGTAGTGAAATAGTGTAGTGAAAGTATTTGTGTCACAGTTTACAGATATTATTTTCTATCGTCTAGTTGCCATTGTAGGAGTTTTAAACTCTGTTCTCTGTCTAAATTTTTTTTCTTTTAAATGTCTTTCTCTCTGACATCTAAGATCTTATTTTAAGTGTTCTGTGGTCTGCAGTTTCACCACAGAATAGCTAGTTGAGGCTTTTGTTTAAATTTTAATTTCATTTGATGATTATTAAAATTTGGTTGTTATATACTCCTCTATTTCTGGACTCTTTCTGTTCTTTTTAGCTATACTTTCTAAGAATCTTATTTAAATGTCTTAATCTACCCTCTATGTCTCTTAAGCTTGTTTTTATCTTCTTCCCCCATCTCTTTGTATAACTTTCTGGGAAAATTTTTCATGTCTCTCTTCCAGTTCACTAACTATTTGGTTGTAATCTGTGGTTAAACTATTCTATTGAGTTTTAAATTTCGATTTTTTTTTTCATGTTTAACTTTTAAGTTGCTATTTATATGTAGATGGTTGTTTTAAGTAGACTCTCAATCCTTGTTAATTTTAAGAAATCTTACTTTTTTTTTTTAAAGTAAGATTTTTTTTTTTAAGATTTATTTATTTATTTATACAAGCACTGGGTACAGTCAGAAGCACGGGAGGGTGAGAGAATTCACCAGAGCCAGAGTGGGGAGCAGAATAGGCAGACTGACGAAGTACACTGCTGAGGGGAGCAGCGGGTGGCAGGAGAGGTGCCATGTGGGACCCTCCTCCAGTGGCTGGGGAGCAGCTGGGAATAGAACCTGCGGTGCAGAGGCTACGGGTAGCTTCGCAACCTAGCTCTCAACCACTGCGCCACTGGGGAGGCCCAGAAATCTTATTTCTTAAACATTTAATATGTAATATTTCATATTCTGCATTTGAGAACTTTAATACCTGAAGTCTTTGGTTGTCTAAATCTTTTTGGTTATTTCTGCTTTTTCTCATATACATGGTTTTTTTTCTTGCATTTTTTGCCATTGATTTTGAGAGCAGATTTAATTAAAGACAAATTTAATCTATGTAAATCTTGGTTTCTTCTAGAGGGCTTGTCTTTTCTTTTGCCAGGAATCTGGGAGTGCTCTTAATTGGGATCACTTTGGCTGCAATTTTATGTCATTGTTTATTAATGGGAATCTCAGTTTCATTTCCCCAAACATACCATGCTGTGGGAACTGTGGTCTGGAGGGCACAGATATCTATGCCTGGCATTAACTCTCTGGTTCCCTGCATTTTTTCTTGTGCTTATTGCTTACAGATCAGGTTTTGGCACTTTTTCTGGCTTCTTTTCTTCTTTTGCACTTCCTCTGCTATCATTTTTTAAATGTATATGTTTAGGGCCTCCCCGTTGGCTCATGGGTTGAGTCTCCTCACTATCAAGCTTTTGCCAGCCACTGTGGTGTGAATTCCATCTCCGGCCAGGGAGCTAACACACTTGGTGCAGCAGACCTCTCCTGTCCGGCCCACCTCTCCCCTTAGCAGTGTATTTCAGTCACTCCGCCTGTTCTGCTCCCCATTCTGTCTCTGGTGAATCCTCTCATGTACACACACCCCCCCACTCTGGTCTACACCCCAGTTCTTGTATGTGTAAATAAAAATAAATTACCTGTTTATTTTCTCCTTGGCTTTCAAAGCTCAGAAATGTTTTGAGAATTACGTTTGCTGTCACTGGTCTCAGATCTGGCTGTCCTGTAGCAGGAAAAGTTCATCTAAGAATCTATTCCTATTCTTCCCACAGACCAGGTTTCAACCTTCCCCTCATGTCTAGAAATTCTAAATTAGGAAGAGTGTTATTACTGATAAATTACTATCTGTAGAGGATTAGTTATCTCTGTAATATTATAAATATATATTATTCAAAAACTTAATGAAGCTTTCATTTTGCATAGTAAATATGATTGAATGATGGACTTACTTTTATTTACATTTATGTTCTCTTTTTCTGTTTTAGAAGGTAGGTTGTAATTTCTAT